AACTGTCTCACTTATCAACAAAAATGCTGGACTCAGTTGTAGTCATAAGTCAAAGACTATCTGTAATACATTCTACAACATTAGTTCCAATGATATTTCTGTGTCCTGCAAACCTATCAGCCTTTTTACTCAGCCTTTCCCATAATCAAGTAAAATGTCACATGCTTAATCCTTGTGCAATATGACTGGAATTTCTGGTACAGAATTAAGAACTACACTTTTTCTTGAAAGAAAAATGCCTCTTGGGTCAAATTGAACTCCAGTTGACATGTCCATTTTGTTTTCTTGTTAATAAAATGAAAGTAGTTATTCCTCATCCATTCAGCTCTGCTTGGAGTATTTAAAAAAAATCAGCTAGTGTAATATACAGGTGAGCAACATGCTTGGAAATGTGTGAGTGAAAATTCTTGTGTTTTATATTCTGGTTCTTTTATCTTGTTCAGTGAATGTCCTTTTCTAGAATTTTAAATGCTGCAAAAACTCACAAGCAGAGGAAATATTCATAGTGAAAAACATTTTCTGTGCCTTTAAAGCAAGGTAGGGAAAATATCCAGTGCACGGCTTTTGGAATTCTTTCCAAATCTTTTACTGAAGTGGTCATAAGAGGCATGTACTTTGAATACTGTACTGTAATATCTTGCATCTGTTTGTGAATATACGTGTACTAATCAGAATATGTGATGTGTTGCCGTTTGTCTGTGTGGATCTAATTGAGGTAGATGCAGATGTGTGTCCTGTGTCTGTGTATTTGAGGCCTTAATCAGAGCAGCAAGTGCATATGTGTTGTTCAGATATTACAGTATATGCACATATATTATTCTCCCTGTTTATCAGTGATATTTATTTACTGTATATGTGTGTACCAGGAAGCAGAGGATAGATTACATATGCTCTAAGGCAGGGATGGCAAACTATCAGAAGCCCTTTATGACTTGTGGACTCCAACTCCCAGAATTCCTGAGCCAGCTGGAGCTTCATTTATGGGAGCTGATGTCCGCAAGTCATAAAGGGGCCATAGTTCCCCACCTCTGCTCTAAGGGAAACTTAGAATGGAGGAGTTCTCAACATTCTGAACCATTGAATCTTCCATGTACTTATGTACTGGGGAAACCTTTGGGAGATTATTTTCTGTAGAATCTTCGGAATAACTATAAAACTCGGATTTTCTTTAGTCCTATGAATGGGCAAAGACCCAAGCCCTTTAGTATAATTTCTTTCTAATGCGTTTCATTAACATTTGTGTGTGTACTTGTTTACTTAGTGGAAAACTCAGAGCAATTTGAAATAAAATAAACTCCCTGTTATATCTAAGCAGCTAATTCTGGTTTTTGTTTGTTTGATTAATTTTTCTCACCTCACATGTTCTGGCAAAGTTGGCAAGCTCCAGTGCCCAGAAGTTAAGTAGTGTCATCTTACAGGACCCTTTTCTGCCATGGCATCTGCCTTCTGAAGCACCATTTTATGACTCGCACTGCAGCCCTATTTAAATGAGCCCTTAAAACCTGGCTGGGTCCCCAGGCTCTGGGATAGAGGTGGCAAGTAGGATGTTTTTAATGGTTTTCAGCTTCTTTTTTTAGTTTCTTTTTGTAGCAGTGCCGTACCTTGCTTTTAAACTATTAATATTATTTTGTATTTGGTGAGCCACCCAGAATTATGACAAATTAGGGCAGCCCATGAATTCCATAAATACATAGTGCTTCACATCCTTCACCAAGATCTAGACAGATCCTGCATTCATTTAATCAGGAATATATTCACATAAACTGAATTCTGAGCATTGCTTTATTCTGTTTACTTTTGAATGTGAATGTCATCATTTTCACTACAGAAAGAAGAAACAGCTATTCACGAGAATACTTGTTTATATTGAGCAAACCATATTTTAATGTAAATGTGTTACCAAAATTCAGACCGCAACAGAAGTTTGCTTGCAAATGGCAGCTAACTTAGAAGTAGTGTAAATAAAGATATTATTCTATTAAAAGCATTAATAGAAACATAAGTTTTTTAAATTAAGTGTTGTATACTGCTCAGAGTTACTTTCATGTAAGATGAGTGGTTATAGAAATATGATAAAATAAATAAATAAAAATGTTTCTGAATTTACATAGCCTTTAAAATTGCAAACTATTGTGGCAATAAGATGAATTGAAGACTGCAAAGTGAAATAAACAAATGAAATAAAATGCAGGTTGACCATTTCATTCATCTGTGTTTATGATTAAAAACATTTAGTTTTTGCATGGATTAAATGAAATTTTAAAAAAGTAACATGCTTCCCAGCCCTCTGGTATTTTTACAATTGTATTTTAGATCTCTCTTTATTTTGAATCAAATCTTTGATTCATTTATCAATAGCTTGTTTTCTGACCAATATAATGTATATTTTATCAACTCCTACTTGCCAAAGACTGAACTCTATCATCTATGGCTCTCACATTGTGGATAGATTTGAACTACAATTTCGAAGGAATATTGTTGTTAAAAACTGCTTGACTTGATGACTTCTTCTAGATCAGAGAATTATTTCAGGAAAAGATTGGTTGTTCAAGTTCTGAAGTGTGCTCATGCCCCTTAATTAACATACTGTTATGGTTCTGACAGTAGTAGTAGGATAAGAATTTTTTGGCAATTTTCTGAGGAATACTCTAAACTATCCTAATTGTCAAAACTTTGGCGCTATAATACCTGCTAGCTTGTGTGTATGTGGGGTGTGGGGAGGAATGTCTCTTTGTTCGTCAAGGTATCCTGCTATAATTAATTTATTTTTTCCTTCTATCCTAGGTGGGCCCAGCAGGATCTCAGTTTGGTTTGTTAGCCTGCCTTTTTGTGGAGCTGTTCCAAAGCTGGCAAGTCCTAGAGAATCCCTGGAAGGCTTTTTTTAATCTTTCTGGGATTGTCCTTTTTCTCTTTGCCTGTGGCCTTCTGCCATGGATCGACAATATTGCACATATATTTGGTTTCCTCAGTGGCCTATTACTTTCTTTTGCCTTCCTGCCCTATATCACTTTTGGTACTGCAGACAAATATCGCAAACGGGTGATGATCATTGTCTCCTTACTGATCTTCGTTGGTTTGTTTTCATCTCTTGTGATCTGGCTGTATGTGTATCCCATTAATTGGCACTGGACTGAATATCTAACCTGCTTGCCTTTCACAACCAAGTTTTGTGAGAAGTATGACTTGGACCAGACCTTGCACCAATGAAGCATTAAGTGGATTTAGTAGAAAGGATTTTGAGGAACAAGGACAGAGGCAGCTATGCCTGTATAAAGCAGAACATCTTCATTTCCAGTTTCCTATTTGGAATTTTTAAGTATCATTCATGAAACAGCATGCACCAAGAGCTGAAACTGAGCAAGTGGGTAGTCCCTGCCATCTTTTGTGAGGTAAAATATAACTAGGTGAAACTCTATGGCAATCCTAAACATCAATTAACCATTACCAGGAGGGTTACGAGTATAAATCAGGGGTTGTTATCAGAACATTTCCCACTTATGTGCCTTGCATCAGAAGGCAGTCTGTAAAGCTTTGTTCCCGAGATCCCTCCCAGACATGAGCTCAGCCTTCGAGGTCAAGTTTCTTTTGAGGAACTGGCAAAGAATCCAAAGACGTCTTTCATCCGTGGGGCCGATTGGGCATTTGAGAGATGAACAATGACTTTCAGCCAGACAATGACTTTCAAAGACTATTAGCTATGGACATCCTGTTGAATTGCTTCCATTGACGATCTGCCAGTTTCTATGTTTTTCTACTTGAAATCCCTCCTTTTTATGCAAATCCTGGTTTGGGGTTCCTTTCCTAGTGCCTTTTGGCACAATATGGTGCTTGAACCTTGTGGCAGTCCTCCCTGCCTTAGTGCCTTTTTATGGTACTAGGAAGTGTACTGTGAAAATAAACCCCATCTTTTTGTACAAGGGGCATTTTTATATGCAGATTCTTGTTTTACGTTCACATTCTCTGTACGTCGCTAGGGTCAAATACTTTTTGACCAAGAACATTGCTTTTAAAGGCACCTTGTCCTCAGTAAGAAATGCGGGTAATTATTCCAATATTTACATTGGGTTGATAACACAGCAACCTGGAATTTCTTTTAAAGAACACTTGAAGTATAACCTCTTTCTAAAAGGAAAGGAAGGTAATCAGATTCTCTAGTGACAAAATGAGAAAGTGTAAACAAATATTTTTGGTATAAATTAAATTCTGAGGGGTGTGTGTGTGTATGTGTATGTGTGTGTATATATATATATACACACTCACATATATATAATGTTTTTGTGCATATGTATTTCTAACCATTAATTAGAAATATTGAAGCTGGAGGTTCATCTTCCCGGAGAACATGCTGTAGCTACATAGCACGGTTAATTTAAAATTCTGTCTCATTGTTTTGCCCTGAGCAACAAAACATTCCAAAATCTTATCGTGCTCTAAGTAGTAATTTATTAGAGCCTTTAATTGAGAATATTTTTCTATAATTATTGTTGCTAATGTGTAAATATTAGACTGTTCCTCTGATGAAACTGAACAATGTGTCCCAGTTGACACTGTTTATCTACTTTTCATTAAAGATAGTTTTGGTAATCATTTCTTTGCATCCAAAGTATATTAATTTTAATGCTTAACCCCTTTATCCCACTTGCTCCCAAAATTGGTTAAAGCTTGCCATTCCTCTAGCACTGCACTTCTGTTCCTTCCAAATCTTTGATGACAAGTATATGCGCAAAAGTGCCATGACAATATATGTCTCGCAAAGCCTTGTGGCTGCCTTTCAGGATCTACTGTCTTGACTAATAATTTTTTGAAGTGTTCTTACTCTTGGAATCTTGTTCATTATCTGTATTGTGTACCTGTGGAGTGACCCGAGTAATGGAAGTTAATTCATTTTTTGCCATCACCTCCAATCACAATCTCAACCTGGCTGTATTATATAAAATAACTTCCCAGTATCATAGTCTGATTGATTGCATCATTGTATAGGAAGAGGAAAAAAGACCAAGACCAGGAAAAAAAGACATTTATTGCTGATCTGACAAGTGGTAAATGGCACACGCAATAACATTTGGAGAATGCTTCCTTATTCAGTGGCAAGAACTTTTAACATTTTCTTATGCACAAGGCTGACCAAGTAATGAATTAAAATGTGCAACTACTTCCATATAATTAGTCACTGATTACACACAATGGGCTATAAATTTGTAATTCTAAACAGTTTCCTTGTAGCTAATGTCATTGAATTTAGCAGTGCTTACTTTGAGTAGATAGGCTTATACTGCCTTAGTAAGGAGTCTTTTCCCGGTCCCATACTAATAAAAACAAACAGATATCTGCTCTGTTCATAAGGAAGGCAGAATGCCTAACTTCCTCCTTTGCTCAGCTTTTATTTCTACTGCAATTGTGCTAGGTAGACCAGAAAATGTCCACACATACATCTGATTATAGTTAAAAAAATTAAATGCAAACAATGGTAGAAAGCATTCTGACCTATATTCAAATTATGGCCATTTCAACTGTGGAACATTCGCCCTCCCCCCTTGGAACTCAAAATGTTTTGCAAACCTCTGATTTGTGGCTTGTGCTACATTGAAAAATAATATTTTTTCCAAGTATCTTTCTATCACTAGTGGCAATCATGTACTATAACTTTACAGGTAGGCCTCAACTTATGAGCACAATTGGGATTGGAATTTTCATTGTAAATTGAGTCAATCAGACAATTTTTACAGTGGTGATTAAAGGAATCACCAAGGTAGTGTTACTGTCGGTAAGTACAAGTACAGGTTGTAAGTCACTTTTTCCATGGCCACCGTAACTTTGAACTGTTGTTAGATGAACAGCCTGAAGTGGAGGACTACCTATATCATGCAAATGAGTAGCATTCCTGCTAAATAGATGGTTTAACAGAATGACCCTTGCTTTACTCAGTTGCCTAATCTCTAGAGTTCAGGCTTATCAACCTCATTTTTACAGATAAAAAGTTATTACTGCTTTTCTAAAATCAACAGTATGGCAGACAAATAAGATAATGATCTGGCTTTAATTGAAAAATGTACAGACACAAAGATGTCCCTTTACTCACAACAGATGGACTGAACAATGCCATACATCTATACTTAGACAAATAAAAACAATTGTACATCTATTTTCTTTTCCATCCTGTGTCAAGGGGATGTTCACAGGTAGAATTCAATGCACATCATATGCTTTAAGGGACAATTAAATGAGGGAAATATTTATAGGAATTCTGCTCGGAAGGAAGTCTGTCATGGCTTTAATGCTAAGGCAGCATATATTTATAAAACACATGAAGTTTCGTACCTTTACATAAAGCCAACCACTATAATAAGGTATAGAATTGCTCTCCAGTGAACAAAAAGCAATAACTTATAGTAAGTTTTGTATAAATACACTTAGTTACTTGAAGACTATGAAACTGAAAGTAACCAATTTTATGAATTCAAAGTGCAGTTGAACTCTTCTTGTAAATAGAGCTGTTGTTATTACTGAATGAAATATGAATGACAAAATGAATAATATATAATGACTTTCTGCAATACTCATAACTTACTACAAAATTTTGGTAGAACTGCAAGCAGCTATCATGTTTTGCTGCCTTCATGGTTTAAATCTGAGAAAATAAATTATTGCATTATTCCTTATTCTATTTTACCGTCATTATATTCACACAGTGCTCACCTAACTTTTTTTCCACATGGTTTGCTCAATGCAAAATGGTCGTTCTCACATCAAGCTAAACAATAACATGCTAAAGTTCATTACACCTTTACCCTCATGTGAGAATTTGACCAGTGCAAGACACAAGAAAAAAGTCTGAGGCTTAGCTATAATTTTTAAAGGCAGCCTTGCTTGTAATCTTTACATTCTTCTTATCTTACAATTGAATGACTGTAGCAGCTTACAGTGCATTATCACTTGTAGATCTTTTAAGCATCATGTAGTAAGGATGGCAACACTTTCAAAATCAGTACTTCCTTTTCAGACTGAGTAGGTTTACTCGCTGGATACTGCTGAATCAGAAGGCCCTTATACTCATGGACAACCAAGGTCTTGCCTTTCAGCACTTCCTGGATTCATTAGACTTCAGCTCCCTCTGAAGGACTGAGAATCACAGCAGATATTTTGTTTTCTAACCAGATAGTTGGAAATTAACAAGGGGAAATATCAGCAGCCACTATTTCTGCGCATAAACGCATGAGCCTGAATAGCGCAGTTCATCTCAATGAAATTTAATGAACCAATAGTGATCTCACAAGGGCCTAGCACTTTAAAGCCACACTTGGTATAAAAGGGAATGAGAAAGTCCTCACACATCAGTGTGGCTCGACGCACATAGGGCAGAGAGCATAGGTACTGTAGGTAGCGCCACATCAAGATAGATCCTTTGCCTTGCTGGCGGAAAGTACAATGTACTGCCAGAACATGTATGTGGACTATGGTACCATCAGGCTTGTGTAGTGTCAGTGCATCCTGCCATGAGAGAAGAGAGAAGAAACTGCTTTTTAGTGATTAGTTTTTGAACTTTCTTCTGTTGACAACGATATTTTTCTCAAAATGTTTGTATTACCAGATCATTGGATCATTGGTCTCTCAGTAAGAATCATACCATTTATTTATTCACACAATGTATTTTTAAAAAACTTTTGCAGAGATGAGCTATGACTTCAACGAATCCAGTAATTTCAGAATAGTATGTTTGCATTCTCAATCTATGTTGCCCAGTTTCTATAAACTTATTGAATAAATTAAAGCTACATTGTAGATGAGCTAAACATCTTATGATGTCTTGGACACATCCATGTGATTTCCTTGACAACAATAGGACTGTAATTGGCCATTGTCTACTTCCAATGTTTTCTTCAACTTCTCAGTTTTGTCTACAGCTCTGGGAGTCCCTGATTCCACCCAAGTACTAATCAAGTCTGAACCTGCTTACATTTTTGTTCCAGAAAAAGTTGTCCGGAAGCTGGCCCTGATGAAACAAAGCCTACTGCATTACAACAAACCTATTCTCCCATAGCTCCTTTTGGTTAATTTGAAATTATGTCAAAATTCTGTAAAGCTCTTTTGACTACTAATTTCTAACTAAATGTAGTCTAATCCAATGTGATTATTGTGCTGCATGTTTATGAAAACGCGGCCATCTTTCAGCGTCACATTGTATGTGCATTAATATATATTTTGGAATGGGAGGCATGCAAGGAACAAGTCATTCAGCAGTTTGCTCACAGGTGCTAAAATGTGAAATACTCTCTCCGGATTATCTGAAGTGTTTCTGCTTATTTAACAACAAAATTGTGTCTGAAAGTGTGCAAAAATGCAATTGTATATAAATAGAAGCATATTTTCTAAATGTTTAAGGCACAGATGGCTGTGTATTATTTCTTTTTAAAAATTGGGTTCATATTCCATTCTCATTCATTCTTTTCCAAATACTGTATAAAATAACAAAGACGTATTTGGCTTACCTGGCTGAGTCTTTCCTGGTCCCAGAGGGAGCCAATAATGAAAGCAACTAGTTGGCCTTCTTCAAACAAGCCAAGTGACAACTCAGGACATAGGTTAAGAAAATGTCGAATCTCATCCAGGTGGAGGGGGCAATCTTCTGACACTGAAATAAAGGCTTGAGGGAAGAAGAAATGGAGATGTTGAATTTTGTCCTGCTGATTACAGCAAGATAAAATTTCCAAAAAACTAGGAAAATATTGGCCCTGCCCAAGAAAAAAAAAACTAGGTAAAAGGATGAATCTGACAAAGTCCTGAGTCTTGCAAAGTGAGATTTCAATAATCCAATCTGGTTTCTTCTTATTACAAAGTTTTCTATGAGGGGATTTAGCATGCCTTTCATCCCAATGGGTTTTCTTTTATCAACTATGCCAGGCAGTTATAGGCAGAGCTTGCAGATAAGCATTCAAATGCATAAAGTCATACATTTTTGGGAACTGAATTAATCTTTAGCCTAATTACTATTTCTGAAATTATTATATTTCAACTGCCACATTTATGTTCACTAATGTTCAGGTTTAGCTGAAAATCCCAGACTATCTATGAAAAAAATCAGTTTCATTATGTCTCTACCAGTCTGTCTCTAGGAAATACAAAGGGGGGAGGTGTTTGGTAAAATATGGAACATACATGGATTAATTATAGAACTGCTGCCATCTGCAAAGTTTAGAACTGGGAAAAGAAATGTTCTCTGTAGTGAGCCAGCAGAATTTTTCCCCTCTATGCGTGACCCAATTGCAACTTCTCTTCTGAGCGTTCCTATCACCCATCTCTTCCCACTTATGCCTGCAGGACTGTAATTTGTTGCTTGTATCCTTATGATTTACATTAATATTGTTTCCTGATTGTTTATTTGTATCCTGTGGCTATCATTAAGTGTTGTACCTTATGATTCTTGACGAATGTATCTTGTCTTTTTATGTACACTGAAAACATATGCACCAAAGACAAATTCCTTGTGTTTCCAATCACACTTGGCCAATAAAGAATTCTATTCTATTCTATTCTAGTTGAGGGAGATGCTGTTCTATTCAGTTTCTGCTTACTGCTTAGAAAATAAAGAGTTTGATTTTTATCTTTTTTTAAAGAATTTTTTTTTATTTTAATTGAACAAAAACACAAAAAAAAGAATCATCCTTCATTTCATCTTGTAGAAAGCATGTCAATTGGG